ACGCGGCCGCCCGAGGTGCTCGGTCGTAGCAAGACGCCGCTCTGCGCGACCGCGTACAAGTACATGTTTAACGCGTGCCGCATTCCGCACCGCAGCGCGGACTCGTACCGCATTTACGACCCGAGCTTGCACCACCACATTGTGGTCTTGCGCAACAACAAGTACTTCAAGGTGCAGCAGTCGGCGACGCCGCTCACGTTCCTCGAATGGACCACCGTTCTCGACAAGATTATCGCGATCGCCGGCGGGAAAGAGTCGGCAATTGGCGTGCTCTCGTCGCAAGACCGCGACGTGTGGGCCGATGGCCGCGACCAGCTCCTCGTCGATGGCAACGAAGCGTCGCTCAAGGACATCGAGTCGGCAGTCGTCGTGCTCTGCCTCGACGACGAGACGCCCGTCTCGCGTACGGAAGTCGCGCGCGGCCTCTGGCACGGCAACGGCCGCAACCGCTTCTACGACAAGACGATCCAGCTCGTCGTGTACGAGAACGGCAAGGCCGGGATCCTCGCCGAACACTCGATGCTGGACGGGATGGCCATGAGCGTGTACGCGGACTTTATGCTCACCGGTCTCCGCAACGGCTCCATCGACCTCGGCGATCTGACGACGCCCCATGGCGCGCTCCAATTGCCTGCGATCACGCAGCTGCCGTTCAACATTACGCGTGCAACGCTGCGCAACATTGCATTGGCCGAGCACAGCTTTGACCTGCTTGTCGCGGACCATGAAGTGCACGTCGAGTCCTTCTTTGGCTATGGCAATGGCCTCATGAAGACGTTCAAGTGCAGCCCGGACGCCTACGTGCAAATGGCGATTCAGCTCGCGGTATGTGCCTGCGTTGCAAATTCGATGCGACACATGGACTTGGCGTAGGCGCGCAAGTACTGGGGCAAGGACGTTGGCACGTACGAAGCGTCGCAGGTGCGCCCGTACCTCCACGGCCGCACCGAAACGACGCGCAGCTGCTCGATCGCGAGCAAGGCGTTTGTCGATGCGATGGTCTCCTCGGGCCCGCTCGAGCGCGTCAGCGACAAGGTATGTCATGCTGACATGCCATTGCGCGTCACATGCTTCGTAGGCCAATGCCTGCCGCAACGCGTGTGCCTCGCACGTGCAGTACATGAAGCTCGCGGCGCAGTCCAAGGGCGTCGACCGTCACTTTCTCGGGTTGCGCATGCTTCTGCAGCCGGGCGAGTCGGCGGCGATCTTTGAGGACCCGCTGTTCGCGCGCTCCAAGTACTGGCAGATCTCGACGAGCCACTTGACGCACGAGCTCTTTGACGGCTGGGGCTGGGGCGAGGTGGTCGCCGACGGCGTTGGCATTGCGTACAGCATCAAGAAGAACTCGGTGCACTTTAACATTGCGTGCCGCAAGACGATTCCGCTCTCGATGTCGCGCGCGTTTGGCCATTTGCTCGAAGAGAGCCTCCTCGAAATGCGCCATATCTTTGAAGCGGAGATGCCGCCGCAGGCCAAGCTCTAAGCTGATAGGACTCTAATACCATTGCATGGAGTTTGTGTCTGTTTACCGACAGTCCAAAGCGTCAGGTGCGAGTGCCCGAGCCGTGTCATGGGCCCCACTCGTGGGCCATGGGTCGGGGTGGGTCGCATTTTGATTGATGGGTGGGTCAGGCGACGACCTTGAATTTCTGATATCCCATCACACGAGGCGGCGAAGCAAAAGGTTGCAAGCACAAGAACGAAGGTGACGACAAGCTGATACCATTCAATGCCGTCGACAAGCGTTGCGAGGCTGACGACTGCAGTCGGAATTTCGTTCATGGGTCATGGGTGGGTCGAAGCGCAAACTCGAGGAGCATGGGTGGGCGTTGAAGGGGCAAAGGAATGAAATGAGAGAGAGGACCCCTGAGAGGACCATTACAATACGGTAGATAAAACTATGCTAAATAAAATTGCCACTCGTGTTGGGCGAGGAGCCGGAAAAGCCGACGAAGAGCAGGCTGCTCGGGCTCTTGTACGAGGCTGTGGTGCAAGTGCAGTTGAGCGACGCGTGCCGCCTTGACGGCAATCGTCCGTGGACTTGGCAGCGGTAGGTCGGCGCGAAAGACGCGATCGTTCCGGACTCGCCAGACGTTGAACCAGACGCAGGCGCGGAGCACGGCCCAGAGGTAGCGGAACGCGGCTTGGTGCATGTTGGACGCCATCTTGGGCGTCGAGTGGCAGTAGCCTGAGAGATTTGTCGGCAAGGTCACGCCCAGAAGGGTCGTGACGGCGTGAAGCGTGCTCCACACGTCCTTGATGAAGTCGCAGTCGACGAGCAAGTGGCGCTACGTCTCGTGCTCGGGGCAGAAGAGGCACGCTTGGTTGGAAGCGAATGCAATGTGAAAGGAGGGACAACCTTAGAAAAACAAAACACACGTAAAAAGACAGAAAATACCTCTAAAATGAATTTCACCGTTGCTCTCGATGTCGGCAATGTCGCACTGGTTTTCACACTCGCATCGCTCGATGATGGCATAGAATATCGACTGAGCTCTCAAATATGCTATGCCATGAGGGTTTTGAACCATGTCGCGGCCCCTGAGCCTTTCAAGCCCAGTTCCAAAGGTAAGCAAGAGTCAAGGTGCGTCGACAATTCTATCCAGAACGAATGCGATAACAAGACAAGCGGCCCAGAGAGTGAGCTCAAAGTCGCATCAAGATGCATCGATGGTAAACAAAGTTTACAGGAAAGGCTTATGCGAGACGAGCGACAACGTTTCCGCAGACACGGAGACGATCCAACAACGACCAGCGGCAAGTCTAGTTGGTTTCGGTGCGGAGGTTTGACGTGGTGAGGTACGGCGCGATAAAGTCCTTGCCGGACGAGAGGCGCGCGTAGACACCAGGCTTGTTGGCCTGCGCACAGACCCCGCCCCAACTGACGACGCCGATCTGGACCTCCTTGCCGTCCTTGACGGCCGTGAGCGGACCACCCGA